TTCCAAAATTGTCAGGAATCGCTTTTTCATAATAATGAACTGAAACTTTACATTCGGGCTAATCTTTTAGAGGGAAATAACTTTTCTTTATATCATTTTTCCCCTAGGGTTGAAAATAATGGTACTTTCCTCTTGGGCCGAATTGCAGTTTTTGTCTGTCCCTCGTATATAATAAACGTTTTATGAAATTTGATGGGCGCTATTTTGATTTGTCGACATGCACAGATAATTGACAATCGATGGAATTTATTAAATTTATACATAAAGTTTTTTCCCATATAGTGCAAACTTTTTGGGTAGCGCTGTATATAAATGTGTTCGTATTTAAAAAAATAATAACTTTTCCTCTTTCGTGTGTCTTAATTAAAACATACGTATCCTACCATCACGTGCAAATAAAAAAATTACTTTTGTCCAAGAAAGCTAACTGTTTCTGCCTCAAGTGACTTAACTTTGGCTTACAATCTCTAGCTTTCCTTTATAAGACTGTGATCAGCCTAGTCCTAACCCAATATCCTAATTTTACATCAATATTGTCCTTAACGTTGATACAAATACAATACTCTATTTGGTCCAGAGAGGTTTAAAGTTTCATGTCGATAAGAACAATGAACAAGGACTGTATCTTCCATTATTTTTCTTAATTAGTTTATTTCCATCTAGTTTTGAAACGTTTTCAAGATACTAGTATTACAAGATTAAATAATAAGAAACAATAATATTTTTTACCAGAGAAGCAATGCTTCATAAACTTGCTTTGAAAGTTGAAAGGGTATTTATTTTCTTTTGTTCCAGAATATTCTGCTTTTACAATAAATGTTCATTCAAGAAATTTTTTCTTGTATATTCATTAGAAATTATTTCAGATCAGGAAGGACTGAAATTATTCTACTAAAACAACGTATTCTTTGAACCAAAGTAGCTGATGGAAGACCCACATTCACCAGTGTACAAACAATATTTCTTTAGTCTTTAATTAAACTAATTGCTCCATAAGAAAAGCTGGATTCCGTTGGAGAGAAGGGATCCAATGGAGTGCTAAAGACAGTTAAAAATCAAGGAATTCGAAGCAATGACTACGTAGAGGTGGAACGGGTTTCCGTCAGTGTTAATAACTAATTAATGCCATTGGCACCATGTCCACGATACGGGGAGTCAAACAGAGTCGTTTTACCTAATCGGACCACTCACTCAAGTAACTTTTATCGTACTCAGAATTGCCGTCGCGATATATGGCAGCTTTGTAAAAAACGGCACTCGTACAGAATGGCAAATACGCGAGCAGCCGCCGTCTTATTCAGCTAATTTGATTTGTACAATCTTGCTGGTAATTAATCCCACGAACGGGTTGAACTGGTAACAGGGCGAGCCTTTTTCGAAAGGATTTCAAACCTGGCACTATGCTTCACTCCCCTATAATTAATTATTTTCCCAGCATGCTAGATCTGACTACCTTTTTGCAATACGTAGATTAAAAATTAATCCCGGATTTCAGGAAATAGTTCGATTTTAGTCGCCCAGGGACTTTACTTTCAGTCCTCGAACCAAAACAAACGGTCACATACTAATGCAATCCTAGTGATCCTAGCTCTTGTAAGTATATCATAAGACATGGCATCTAGAATTGATGTTCCTGACATATGTATGTATGTCAAACCAGTATAAGTATCGATAAAATAGATTGTCAAATGAGCTATATGTTTCCATAAAATAATTCCTCAGCAAACCCTACTATCTACCCTTCATAGATTTTACTATCAATTTATTAAGCTCCACAGAATATTAAGCTTCAGACTCAGTACAGACATATAAAATTTGAACAAAAATTAAGAAATGAAAATTAGGAAAGATCTGAGAGGTTTCAACTGACAAAAAAGAACTTATCTTACGTTGTTGGGGAGAATTTACTTATCTCTAATAAATATATTTTTCTTGGGAATGGTCTGTCTAAATCTGTAAAATATTCTCTGCGATGTCAAATAACTTACATACATATTTGACAATTAAAATATGTCCCTTCTAATTCCAAAACTACACATGGTTTGTTTCTGTCGTCAATGTTTTTTCAGTAATTGATCCAAAATTGTGCTGCAAGTCAAATCTTTTAACTTTTCCATGATTTCGTATCTCTAATTGTAGAGAAATTTGAGCAAAATAATTGACGATTGACTGTGGTTTTCGGACTTTAACTCGACAACAGCACATTCTACAAAAAGGTCGATAGTAATAAAAATAGTTTTGTTTAGGGACGATCTATCCAAGTATGTATGGAAATATGTAAAAGAAAACTATTCGACTTGTTTTTTGGCCTAAATTTCTACATCACTGGTTGGTTTTTCACAAGTTTTACATGTAGGTAGATAAGAAGACTGCACTATACAAACTCAATAATTTCAGTGCATTTTGAATAGTTTATCAAAAACTGTGTTTAAAAAGTCCAAACCTTCAATCGAAAACATAAAGATGCCGATTTTGCTTATCCCGTTTAAAAAGAACAGAAACGATATTATTTTTTTATATATATACATCTTAAACCATACAGTCTCTTAAATTAGAGGAGATATAGAAATAGTTAAATTAATTATGAAATTTTGCGTTTTCTGTCATTAATTAAATGGTACTCCTACTTTTGAACTCTTTCCTTATCCTTGATCCATTGGTACTATGAGGATACTAATATTGTACTGCGTCAGTGTTTTCACGTAAATAATAAGTAATTATTCGCCGTAAGCTAAAATAAATGAAAAATTCCAATTTACTAATAAGCTTAGTATCTGGATTTAATTTTTTTTTAAATCATTTCGAATAATATTTATAATTGCGGCATTATACATTTAAGTATATTTTCCTGCATTAAGAGTATTTCTCGGTGTAATTAAATAGTCCTTAATACTCAGTTGTAAAATAAACTATTTGTTGTGTTACTTTTATTGTGAGTTTATTTTGGTGGACAGTAACCTTCCCCACAGTGCAAAAATAAAACGTGGTTTCAACAAAGAAAAAAGTAGGTATGAAAAATATTTGAACCTCCCAACAGATAACGCTTGTAGCAATAACAAAATATGGCAAAATAAGAAAACCACTAGTTAGTAGAAATATATACGTTTTCCTCCCTTGATATACCTACTATTATTATACCACAAATGAGAAACATATGCATACTTGCATAAAGTATTTGTTATGTAACAATCGTAAGATAATTACATAGAATAATAAAACAACTGATGATCTTAAGTGCTTTATCATCTAGCAAAATTTAAAAATATATGTAGTTAGTTATAAATATATGTAGTTAGTTATTTAGATGATATTATTTCGCTAAAAGCAGACTATCAATTATACAAACTTTATTATAGTAATAACTAAAATAAAGTTTTGTAATGAAATGCTACTAATTTTATTAATATATTATAATTATATCCTATTTTAAATTAAACAAATCCATATGGTTCTCTAGCTCCTTTATTAGAAGTCAAACATGTGATAATACATACAAAATATACTTCATAGTTAATTTTTAAATTGACGTTTCATGGCACACCAAATTCGACACACCCTGTACATTCCGGTCAAAGCGAACGTCGCGACCTTCAACCCTCAGACTTTCCTCCTAGCTATTCCATCTTCAGCACAAACTCATCCACTGTAATCGATGTTTGAAAAAACAAGAATTCCTTTCGGACAGGACCGGATTATCTATGTATCTGCCCCTATAATTTAACTTAGTAATCCGCAAGTTATAGTGCTTTGGAATTTACATTTCATTAGCACGAAAACTATAAGTTTTCTTCCATCAGCTACGTTACCTGTTCTTCTCTAGTAAGTATTTCTGTAGTATTTGCCTCTCAAGATAACCTAATCTTTGTTATTATTTCAAAAACCGAAAATAGAAAACCGATCAATTGAATTTTACCATAGTAAAATGAAGTAGGTACTGTTATAGATGCGAAAACAGAGCAGTTTTTGTCGAGGCGACAGTCACTTCGTCGAGTAACAGTTTGTTTTCCCTATGTTTGTGTCTTAATATAAACTCATTACGATTCATTGTTGGTGTTGAACACTCAGAATAAATTCACTGTGTCTACGAAGTGAGTGTAGATACAGATATTCCAGAAAATGTAACACTTAAACAGAGTGAACATATTTTCTTTTCGGTTTGATTGAAAAACGCCAAGTCAGGCAGCAAATATACATATTTTACTTCAGTTTTCCAGAATCAAATGTTTTGTCGATAGGAAAAATTTGTGAGGTCGCCATGATTCTTATTAAATTGCAACCCCAATTCTGTTTTATCAGAAACATAGATCTAGTCCTTCTAAATCCAGAAATATGTACTATTATGAGGAATATAATGCTCTTAGATTTCGAATTTTGAGATATTGCATCTGTTTTTTTTTGCCGCTGACATACTCGTATACCTACTCTTTCAACTTTTTTATCTTTGATAATGTTCTTGTACTCCATATTTTTGTTAGTGATATTGACTCAAAAAGAGCGAATCCAAATTTCAAGTTGATTAAGAAGAGAACAGTATTTTGTACCTTGATAATGTTGCTGATCAAATTCATATGATGATTATCTCAAAAAAGAGTAGGTAAGCTGAAATTGTAATTTCAGTTGACTAGGGAGAAAAAAATCAGTAGCCATTGTCAAGCTCTTTTTTATAACTTACATCCACACGTAGCACTTATATGTCGATGATGGTGATCTAGCAAACCATCTTGGTCTCAGATAAAATTTAAGTTTCTACATAATATTCTCAATAGTATTGATTATAATGGGAGTATTTATCAATTCAGAAAAAATAAATCTACGTTTCTGTGAGGAAAAATGTGGGATTGCAATTTAAAAGAATTGAGATTTCCCCATATTGAAGCTAAATATACTTTCGACTTTATAACTTTTTGTTTTGGTTCTTAGTCATTTTAATTGGGCTTGGTTCCTTCAAAACTTGCAGCAAGACTCATTTATATTTTATAATAGTCTTCTTTCCTTTGCAGAAATGGGAACTTCTAGTCTTAAGCAAACTAAAGTGGGACGTGGCGGCGGTAACTCCCCAAGACTTCCTTAAGCACCTCCTAAACAGGCTGCCACTGGAAGATAAGTGGAACATAAACTACGACATGGTCCTGAGTCATGCAAAGACCCTCATCACCCTGTGTGCCAGAGGTACGTAGACGAAAACATGCGAAAACGTTTGTTGTTCTTTTTGTGGTCTCTTCGGCCTCGCTGTATCCGAGAAGGGCATTTAATGGAAATCGCGGTTCTACAAAGCTGGATAGAGGAACGGAGACTACTATAAATTTGTTCAGTTTAGAACTTATTGTCACAATGAACATAGTGCTTTAATAACAAAAAAGAAATATATAATTTATCATTCTCTAACCTGATTAACATTCTAAACATAAAGATACACACACTGATAATAATTTTTTTGCTCATTTTCCTTCGAACTCGGTTTTTATATCTTGAGAATCTTTGTAATTTGTCACCACTAAGAATATCCGAATTTTATTGTAAATTGGTATCTGATTAACAGGATCCACTTAATAAAACAAAGTTCCGATATTTATATAGTAAGAATAATCAATCAATCCAATCCATTGGACAATAACACTGACCAAGAATTTAGTTATAATTTACTGTGACAGTTGGCAGGTAAATTTAAAGAGGAGAAGGAGTAATGCAGGCAATGCTATAGTATTAATTCTGTTGCAATTCCTTCTATTTCATTCAAAGTATAATATTAAACTAACAAAACTGTGTTTGGAAGATTGTGCTGGAGAGTTAATAAGCGATCATAAGTCATGGAAAAAATGTTGTATGTTAGTAAGAATTCATGTACCAGTCTAATCTTGTGCAAAGTGACGTGGGAAACATGTAAATATTCAGATAATGCACTAACACACACTCCTATACATCCACTGTAAAGAATTACAGCTTTATCCTTCTGCTGACAAAGTGTTACTGCGACTTGACAAGTTTGGATCGTTATAATTCACATCCGCAGAGAGCCAATATTTTCATTAAAACACATCAGATGAACTTCCCATAATTGAGAATCGGATACCTACCGTAAAAATTCAGCTAAGATTCTAACGACTAACCGCTCCTCTAGTGGGACCTGCGGGGACCCACAAAGGCGGCCGACTAGCGATTCTCATCCAAGGTCCGCAACCTAACAGTGGCCCCCGAACTTTCGATTTCGCTGGTTCAGTTTCCCACAACAATGCGTAGCCCTGTCTGACAGTTGTCTGCTTGAAGGCTAGCTCGATTTTGGAGCACTATAAAATAACTGGCTGCGGCATATAAAAGCCTCACTTAGCTTCCAGGAATTTGAAGATGTTATGTCGTATTCCGGATGAAGCTGAAGTACATTTCCGAGATATGTCAAAAATAAATACAGTTGTTAGTAATTGAAACCTATAATATATTACTTTAGGTTTAAAATAGTGTAACTATGGTTTAATATACCTGCCCTTGAGCAACTTGAGCTCAACATAAAAATGTGCGTTTCTACAAAAAAAATCTTAAAAGTATGTTATTACAAATTTTGCATAATACAAAGACTATAATTATACTGAATGCTTGTACATATATTTTTCATTATTCTAAAAAATATACATGTTTTCAGACTAATATCAGAAAGAAACGTAAACATTAACTAAGTACATAATTCAAATTTTCTTCTACGAGAAATTCCAAATTCGTCTTGACCACAAGTTTTATAGACGCAGAGGCAAGCTGTAGGTAAAGGATCATTTAAAGAACACAATCCAGTACCGATCTTTTAATATAGTAGTTAGAACTATGCTCCTGATAATTTGTATTTGGTAGCCTCTCTTTGTTTATACATCTTCCTTGTCTGTTACAAAGGTTGGGATCTTGGAATACAACAAGACATTATTTCAAAAATCGAAACATCACTGAATGAATTGGGGATCTGATATGTTTTGAACCAGTTATTTTTTGTTCGCTTCACATAGAGTCAATGGTCGAAGTCCACATTATGATAGGTATAACATCTAAGACCTTATTGATGGTTATTCAATCATCAAATTTTACGTACATTTCTTTTAACAACAGTGTTTGTTAAGCCCAACTACTGTGTGAACTCAGTTTACATTACATTGGTGGAAAACTATCCATCGGCCATTCAAAGTGCGTGATAGTGTACCTGTTTGTCGGTCTACAGAACACCAGACCAATAAACTTCATCGGTAAAACACAACACCCACGGCATTCCAGGCTTTCTGAGCGCTGGGAGACCAACACAAACGGCCGTTTCAAACGGAATTCCTTTATGCCAATTACATTCCGCAATCGCGCTGTTTCTCATTCAATCTCACGAAGATTGTGTGGTTTACTGCCAACAATACTAATAACCCACATATCATAACTTGCTCGGGTCTCAAAAGGAAAAAAGCTCACACAATACACATTCGACACCAAATGGTATTGTGTTACCACTCCGAATAGCTATTATTCGATTTTCTTTTGGAAAGCGATAGAACGGATATAATATAAAATCCATTTAAATAAATCGAATTTAAAATAAAATTAAATGGGTTCATTCACTGGCGTTTGTGACTCGTAGGAATAGGAACTATATGGGCAAAAAAGTTTTATGGTCTAGAACAACTTGATGGAATAGTTATGGAATTTATCTTTGATCGAATCGATGTTGGAACTTGAATCTAGTTGAATCTTAAACGATTTACAAATTTAAAATTATTTCCATGGCACTACTCGTATTGCTAGAATAGACGTTTTTCTTCTTCTTTCTCTTAAGATTTTCTGATGCTGTCGTGGCTGTGGAATTCTCTCAAGTCCGGTCCTGCCCCCAAAGAGATGCGGCCCGAATGAAACGATCGAATTCATTCACGCACAACTTCGTTAAATTGTTGCCAATAAAAGGTCTGGGCGAAATATTCCCGTCTTGTTATTATTGGTATACGCGAAACATTCAGTTGACCTCGTGTTGGGATACAAGGTTACCGGGTGACGTCAGAGTTCGACGACCGCTCGACTCGGGGTCTTACACACTAATTTTGGTCATTATAGAATTGGCACGAATTAATATAAGACAATCGGACATCCAGCACCCAGCATCCGCTAATGGAAGAAGAGGATGGGTGAATCACACCCTGGTATACTAATTTTTAGCTCTAAATTATAAAAAATCTAGATGCGCGTTTCTGTAAATTTGATCAGTATCTACTGTTTAATAATCCGTAGATAAAAGAAATCATACAAAAATGTTTTTGTGTAAGTTGTCAGCAAAATTACCTAAATATTCGCGTTGAGATGCCTATTGCAGATTTATGAATGACTAGGTGCTACTATTGGCCTTTGGAGCCACTCCTAACTCAATAAGACATGACAGAATTAACAATGTAACCCAACCAATGTTGAAAATAAAATATGTTGGAATGAAGCAATGTGCACTACACTAGACATATTTCTCTCATATATCGGTTACCGCTAAAATTATAGGAGATTTCGGTGCCAAACCCGTTCGTAATTTGGTGGGCCTAACGTATTCACGGTGAGACGAAGCCAGAAGAAATTGCTTTTAAATTATTGGGCGAGGAGGCCGTCAAAAATAAAAGACAGCGACGTGATGAAAGTGCTCTCAGCCGACGTGGGGTTCGGTTTTAAGGCCCTTAAAGCCGCTGGATATGCGATCCTGATTGAAATTCGCGCACAATTGGCTTGTCAATTTAAATTCTCTCGCAAGAATAATTTCGGATTTGTCCCATTGAAATCTGAAAACAAGTCGTCTTTCGAAATAATCTATTTTAATTGGTTGACAATTTATTCATATTTCGTAAAGTAGATATTTGAATAATTCCATTTTCTATTGAGACAAATCTTCTTCCAAGAATATTAGAGTCTGTGAAATTGTTGTTTGTCTTTTTTAATTGCACCAATAAACTGAAGTTGGTTTTTATCTTCATTTGTAGAACTAGAACTTATATTTGTGCTTCATGGTCAATTGAAATTTGTCGGTCCTAGATCACTGTAACCCGTATTTATTGACAATTGATATCAAAGTGTACGAGAAATGGCCATAAACCTTGAACATGCGCTGTCTTTGGATCGTGAGAAATGTTGCAGTACCAGGGTGCATTCCAATAGCGCGCCGAGACAGTTGCAACTTTTTACAGATCGATTTAAATAAAAGGAAATCGCTACCAATATAATAGACCAAACGGTGAGACCGGAACGCTGAAAAATTTTAATAAGGCCTGAAATACATTTTAAAAGGGAATATGAGAATATTGACATCTGCGAGATTTTTTCTAATGGGTAACAGCACTAGTTCGAACAATCATTATTGGAAATTGATAAAATCTACAGAAAATAAACAAATAGGTTTATGATACAACTATATCGCAGATTGATTAAATCATATTCTAATACCACGTATACATTCAGTTTCCAACGCAGGCATATACGCTCCAAGATTTTGAACGGTTGAGTTTCTCGTATTGGCTCGTACTGATCTCATCCAAATGCTTTTCAATTTATTTGAAGATAAATGAAGCAATTGATTTACTTCCGTTCGCATATAAGTCGACTTTCCAACACTGGCCAAAGTATGTTCTGTACCAATAGATTTTGTCTATAGGTATCAAGTTTTTCTAAATGGCTGAACATAGATAGATTTATGAATTTCAATGTAAGCATTTGAATGGGTACATCAAAGGCAGCGAGGTTGTTTATTGTTTTTTTAATAATTGTGTACATATACCATTGGAAATAATCTAAATATTTTTTAACAATTTTTGCAAGTTAACACGATGTCATTTTAATAAATACCAGTAGTACACTCGGGTATAGGCTTGCCAGGTCTCCGGGTTAGACCCGGAGTCTTCGGGTTTTGATGGTACATCTCCGGGCTCCGGGTTAATATGTCATTTCTCCGGGTTAAGACGTCCTACCCCCAAAATTTATTTTCCTGAGAGATCGGATTGTTTTATTTTAGACATCAATTTGTCCATTGAGCTGCTGTAGACCTTTTTTTTTTTTTAGAGATCGATTTCCTCGTAAACGATTTGACTTCAAAATTTCCTAATTAATTTCTCCGGGTCTGTCATGAAATAGATCAATAGATCTGGCAACCCTACTCGGGTATGACGCCAAATTTCTCATTTTTTTTATTACTACTACTTTTCACAAATATGTGAGAACTAGTAATCATTTATTTTTCTTATTTTTCGCAATAAATTATTAATTTTATAATACCTAAAAGCTATACAATTTTTTCGATGGGAAAATAAGTTTTAAATTAATTTTTGGTGTTTGTAAGCGAAGTATATAAAAATTCTACAAAGAATCTACTTTCAATGATAATATAAATAATCAGGATCATGTTCCTTTTTTTTTAATGAAAGATATATTTAGTTTAATAAATAAATTGGAAAAAAGTTATTCAAAAATATAAAGCACGGGTGCCTTATGTAATAATCGTAAAAACACCTTGCAACAAGTGTAATTTTCGCAGTCTAACTTACAATAACCGCCAGTGATATTTCTAATTCGTAATCGATACCATTCAATTCGAAAGTTATTCTGTCCCGCTGAGAATCAAACGGCTGAACAAGTTTCTCATGATCCAGTAATTCAGCCCAACCCGATCCTATCAGAGTCTAAAACATCTCACACCGTAAGCCGGAGCAATTTAAAAATGAGATATGTCAACCATTAACGGAATTGGACAGAACTGGATTCATTTTTAACCACGCGGCATATTTATGCTGACATGGAATTAAATAATTAATTATTGTCTTACAAGCACAGTCCATAAGTATAGTCTGTTTCATAAATACCGTAAATGGAAGAGAATTTCTAATGACGACCGTCGAATCGAATTATTTAAGTACTAAGTACCTAAATACAGAGATGTAACAATTCTCGTCAAAACTAATACAAAATAGTGAGTATTTTTTCCCAAAATATTATGATTTATAAGGCCTCTATGATTCTTCAAATGTTGCAAGTTAAATATAAAAACATCCACGATGTACCTACCAGTAATTGACATATCATACACTAAGTCCACAATATCTTTAGATTTAAAACAATGATTTGGTATTACAGTAGTTGTCGCGGTATCAGAGATTTCTTCTGCATTACTAATATGTCTGTATTTAACCATTATCGCAGCCCCCTTCCTCCACTTGTTGTTTTTATTCTTGTTGTTGTTACATAAAGAGAAAACAACCATAATTCGGAAACCCTGACTAGTATTAATAGAAAAATCGTTGATGAAAAGAAAAAGTTTCAAAAACAAAGTAGAGTAGGGGAGAATATAAAACGAAAAGAAACAATTCAACATTACGTACTACGAGTTTTTATTGTTCCAATGTTTTTCCTTTATGAACAAAACAATACGTTATTCGTAGACTTGGGGAGTTTAGACATTTTTAACGCTAAAACGCAGCTCTATCACGTTAATAGAGTTATTAAACAGCGTTCATCTTAAGGCCTCCGTGAAGAGAGTATACTTACCTGACTTTTTGTTACAGAGTTCGTGTTCTCGAGGTACCACCCAAGCATAATCGCCTGTGCGAGTATCGCCTCGGCGCTATGCGGGGTGGGGTGGGTATGCAAGAGTGGGCGGTCGCCGGAGGACCTGCTCCAGAAGCTGACTGAAATAACTTGCATCGAAAAGGTAAGCCCGTCCTGCGCGACAAGTGTACGAATTCCGGATCAAGTGTCAGACACATGTGTCGATGCGTCCCTGCACAAAAAAAAAACCGGCATCTCGGTCGTTTTTTGTGCGTCAGTCTCAGACTTCTTGGTTGAGCACAGACTTATAACGGACCTCCAAAAAAAAATGATTAATTTCAGTCGCTACGGTGGTTCCTTTTTTACTCAGTAGAGTGTTTCGACGAATCTAGCTGAATTTATCTTGGCTGAGAAGATTTTTTAATAATCCTGTACAAATTTCACCAATTCTGATTTTAATCATATCATATCAAATAGGGTTTAAAAATAATATAAAATATAACAAAACTGTTTTATTCAGTTTGCACTTTTAGTAAAATGTAGGAGTAAATGAGATTGATAATTTGCAGTTTGAGTGAGATTATTTTTGATTGTTTTTACCTAAAAAAAGTTTTTAAATGCTTCGTTTTCGAGTGTTCGAAATTAGTGAAAAGTATGGTTTATTTCAAGCATTTGTACAAAACCAAATAAATTTCATTCACAGATAAAGCGACTGTATTAATATACTCGTATTTTTTATGTAGTTTTTTATATAATTAGATGTTTCTGCTACACTAAAAGAAAAATAATTATTAGGGAATTATATTCCTCCTTGCACTGAAGGCATCAGTTAAGAATATATATTATAATAATATTGCTTTAACTACAACTACCTGTCTCATATTGACAGCGTTTAGCTTACGGTCTCTGAGTATCTCGGAGTATAATGTGAGTGGTATTACTATGAGGTTATAGAATTAAGTAAAATTAGGGGTAAAATGGATGTTATATAGGAATTTAATGGAACAAAATTAACTAAAATTTCGTCACAAACTCTGAAACCAACATTTTGTAATATAACTTTTCTTAAAATGGCAATGGCAATCATCCCTTATTTCATTCACTAAAAAATGGTTAACAATTTTTATTATAAATGGGGCATTCTTTGTCAAAACGGCCACCCCATCTGAGGCAACCTAAAAAATCCTCTTCGTGTGTACTTTTTATTAATATCAAAAAATATCTGAAATTTTGTTATAATATTGGTCATGGCCAAATGTAAAAAAAAGTTTTTGCTGAAATGGGACTTTTTTACAGTATGTACATACGTATCCGAAAAAGAATAAAAATGACTATCTGAAAACGTAAAAGATTGTTTAAAAAAGAAACTTGACCAACCAAAATGTATAAAGTTTAGAAAAATTTTAATAGTTCCAGTTGATGCAACATATTAATTTATGTAATAACGACAAATCTAAAGCTTCTAACATTTAAAGTTACACAGGAAAAAATAGTTTTCACAAAATTCTACATACTAAAGTTACAGGAAAATCGAATGCGTCCTTCAATAACGATAAAAGTTACGCATATTTTTTTGTAATTCAATAAATTTTATACTTACTTCTTATTGTTTCCGAGATTCCTTGGTGAATATCTGTAAGAGAATCATCCTGTATTTTAGAAATATGTTCAGTAATATTAAACTCAAATATTTATTTTTTCTTTTTCTAAAAAATATTCGGCTATTATTAAGTAAATGTGATTAACTGATTTCAGAATTTCATAGAAGTCCCTGTAACATTTTCAGGAAAAACGGCCACCCCATCTGCCCAAAAATTGAAGCAACCTAAAAAAATCGTTTTGGGCTCATTTGGTAGCTACCTACACTTGTCTAGTTTTCATTGAGCTGTGGCCATTTAAAAAAAATCAAGATGGCGAACCTGAACAACCGAACAACTTATAGAAAATCACCATTAAAGTGAAGTTATCGTGGTTAAAAGTCGCAGAGGTGGTAAAAAAAATTATGGACAAAGCTTATTCTCGTTTGTTTTAATCGGTGAACTACACCCGCACGGTTTCGACGAAAACTAATGGCTCTCTTTTTTGAGGTTAGGCACGAACGCTTGGGATATGCGCCAAAAATAAGGTTAGATTCGTATTTAGCGGATTAAAATACGTGAGAGTAAGCTCTGTCCGTAATTTTCTTACCACCTCTGCGACTTTTAACCACGATAACTTTCCATTTCCATGCTAACTTTCTAGAAGTTGTCCGGCCCTACAGGTTCGCCATCTTGATTTCTTTAAATGGCCGCAGCTCAATAAAAACTAGACAAGTGTAGGTAGCTACCAAATGAGCCCAAAACGAATTTTTTCCATTTTTGGGCAGATGGGGTGGCCGTTTTAACAAAGAATGCCCCAAATATATTAATGAACAACTAATTGTTCAACAATACATATTTTTTCCTGAAAATGTTACAGGGACTTCTATAAAATTCCAAAATCAATTAATCACACTTACTTATTGCCGAATATTTTTTAGAAAAAGAAGAAATAAATGTTTGAGATTAATATTACTGAACATATTTCTAAAATACAGAATGATTACAGATATTCACCAATGAATCTGGGAAACAATAGTATAAAATTTATTGAATTACAAAAAATATGCGTAACTTTTAGCGTTGTTGAAGTACTCAATTTTTTCCTGTGTAACTTTAAATGTTAGAAGCTTTAGATTTATCGTTATTATAATTATAAATTAATATGTTGCATCAACTGGCAATATTACAATTTTTCTAAACTTTATAAATTTTGGTTGGTCAACTTTTTTTCTTATACAATCTTTTACATTTTCAAATTGTCCTTTTTATTCTTTTTCGGATACGTGTCAGTTTGTACATACTGTAAAAAAGTCCCATTTCAGGAAAAACCTTTTTTATATTTGGCCATGATCAATATTATAATAACAAAATTTCCGATATTTTTTGATATTATAGGTTATAGTTTATTGATCTATTAAGTTATAACAAAACTAAAGGCACTTTTCGTTGGGGAACCATTTTGTAATTTAACCTATGTAATTTCTACTACTATTTCCACGATTTCCACGAGTATTCAAAGATGTTTCCATAAGCTGTTTACCGTTTCCTAAAATATTTGACATGAATTTGCTGACAATTCGATCGCAATGCTCGATATGAAATTCTCCTAGTATCCACCCTGTAAAATATGTTTACTCATATAAGGTTACTTCAATAATATTATCAAGTCACATCCGGTATCGATAGGGCGGCCCTTGCTTAATAAATCGGCTGGTTTTTCGACATTATCGTTAATTTAGATGATATCACAAATCTGTAAAACAAACACTCTAATCCTTGAACATGAAGAAAAAATATCTAATTGGGTATTTGGATAGTACTTAGCCGCCACTAAAAAATATAAACTTGTCTCTAATCTCTATTCATACTTATTTACATATGGGTCATTCACATTTTATTTAAAGCTTTAAAGCAGTACTTCCCTTAAACGCATTTAACTTTCAGAATGACCTCTTTATTTCTTTGATAAAAAAAAAATGCAATACTAAAAATCAATAACAAGTTGCAAGAGTATAATTTCAGTGTCCAGAAGCGAATGTGCCTTAACTAGTAGCTTCCTTATGCGAAAATAAAAGTCGATCAAGTTATCTTAGTAAAATTTTCCTTTAAAGTTACGGGCCGTTAGAAAACGGCTAATTCCATCCATTTAAAACAACTTTGTTCCTTTCCTAGATATTTTGGTGAACATAATGTATATGTACATATTTATTACCTAAAGCATAGAGATTGCTGAAATAGCCTTGACTTTTTAGAAAAAAGCTAGATGAATTTATATAACGTCACTTTGTCTACTGTAAAAATGATAATTATACTTATACGTCATTAAAATGCATTGTTCCAGGGAAAAAATTAACCTAAAGCTTCTGCAGTTATTATTTATGGAGAGCTCTGAGTATTTGGATGTATTCTAATCTAATTAAACTTCATCTTTTTTCCAAATTTGTTGATTTTGTATAATTTAAACTAATTTGCCTAAATTCAAATGTCCACGCCTCTAAATGTTGTTAATTCCCATATTATTATTAGACCCTGAGATTTGTACAAAAGCTAGCTACAAAAGCAAAAAAAAAACAAATTTGATTCCAGAACCTAGCCGTACCTGACAGGAGCAGTGGAAAGTTGAAATCTATTTTTCACTGGAACGAAGTATCTTGACGACACCTAACCAGTATACCATTTTACACTAAATAAAGAGAAAACGAATGAAATATTAAAGAAATCGTATTTTAGGTATTCTTAGGAATATTGTCTGCAGTTACATGTTTATTTGCGGCATAGTTTTCGTCTTTTTCTTTATTTTTTGGGTATTTTGCCATATGTGAAGAAATTTTTAAAAGCAGTGAAACAAACCCTTACGAGAAATTGTGATCCATTTGTCGTAAGGGTGTGTTTCATCAATTTTTTTTAATTTTTTCACGGGTGGCAAATAACCTAAAAAATAAAAAAGAATTTTTAAGAATCTACATTCTAGGCAATAAATAAATCTATATCCATTTTGGTTTTTCCAAAAACCTGTATACATTTAATTAAACTAAATATTTGCTTTTATTTCAGGAATATGTAGAGCAGTGCCTGATCCAGATAGACAATATGATCCGGGAATCTAGTGTCGTGGAGTACGAAATACGAAGTAGCGAAACCACACTTATCGAAGAACTGAGGCCAGGTGAATTTACTCCACCTCCAACAAAGAACAAGGATCATGAAACTGCTCTCAATCCAACAGACGTACACAACATACATTTCTAAACCGTTTACAAGTGATAGTGATAATTTAGAGCTTCCATAAATGACTGTACATATAAATAATTTTACAGAGTGCGTACCTTATATACTTTTTTTGTTGAAAAAGATGAAATGTTTATCTCTGCTTTCGAGGAAGCAAATAGTCAGTAAGGAGTATACCCAGAATAAATTTGAAATCAGATTTTGAAATCGACGATATCTACAGATTTTGTGCTTTCTTACTTAGTTTAAAATTTATTGGGGAAATTTATTTGGGTAAAGGTGATCATTTTGGGTTACGCCTTTAATTGGCTAATGATATTAGCCTAGAAAAGAGTGGTAAAGAGAAGATTTGATTGCAGTGACATTAAACTTCGGGGGAAGGCAATAAAATACGCTTTAAGTGATAAACTACATAGTTTAAAATCCTTGTATTTTTGTATTGATTGACCATTCTGGAAATCGTAACGGCAAGAGTGCAGAATATTCTGTCTTTAACTTGATGAACAATATAATTATTGTAACGAACAATTATATGAATTTTATGGCTATGTAATTGTTCATTGATTATGTTGGTCATATCTGCAAACTTTGCACTCAAGTTAGATTTATTAGAAATCACTGTTTCTTGCAGATTTTCTAGAGGCACTAATAGTCATTTGTAAATACACAATATTTTCTGTTCCTATTTTTGGAAAACTGTTCCAATGATCTAGGTTAAAGCCATAGAATTTAAATTTTCGATAGATTCTGATGCACAAATTTCATTATGATAGAAGCTGACAAAGTAATAAAAGCCTTTGTTGTTGAATCTCATTTTGGATGATAAAAATGATTAATAATCTTATGATGAAATTTGTGAGACAGAATGTTATGAATCTATAAAGACTGCATGCTATATAGAGAGCAACGACTTAATTATAATAACTACTTTAATTAAATCGTACAAAATCTATGTTTTCATAACAACCCGATTACAATAGTTCTAAAGAGAAATCAATGCAATTTAAAACAAGTATTTAATTTAATCATAATAATAAATATATGCTTTTTATTTATCCACATTTATTGTTTTCTTTATTATAGTTTTCTTTGATTCTATATGTGATTTCTTTTTTATTTGCGTTAATATTTGTGATTTTGCAATTGTATATTATATCTTATAAGTGATCAAAAGTGATTTAAAATTTATGCAACAATATTATATAAGCCAATATTTGTACCTAAAATGCTTGGGCATATACCGATATATTAAATGAAAATATTAGTTGCTTAAACATTAATAATGTAAATAGTTTTATATATTGTACATATTTATATATAAAAACAAACCATTCATCCAACCACAAATCACTGCCATTTTACACGAAATATTTCAATTTGCTCATAACTTACAATAGTTCAATTTTATATACCTCAATTTCAGTTCCATCTACATAATCAACAGATATTTATATATTGTACAGATTTAATTTTAATCATATATGCTTTTATTGTATATATCATCTAAGAGAATTTTTATAATACATAAAACGTTTTCTAGAAAGACTATTATTTACCCTTGCCCTTCTCCATTGTGATTTAGGTATAGTATTTTACAATGTTTTACCGTTAAGGTATTAGTGACATTATTGATCTAATTTGAAGTAAGTATTTTTAAAAACAAACATAACTTATGGTAAGTAATCTAAATTTATAATATTAATATAATATTGTATGTGTATTGTTTTGCTGACATACCTACTAACACTTACTAATATTTACATAAAAATGTTTTAAGTGAATAAGAATAATGAGCATCATGAACCAATTTTTTTTTTTAAACGCACCGATGTCTATTATAGTCTGTATAGGATTTGGTTTTATCAATTCGCTTTACTTTTAGAATGTAATACAAAAATGCATTTTTCTATGTATCACATATACAGGGTGTGCAAATTTAACACTCCTGCTGCCAATATCTCCGAAATGAAGAAATTTATTTTGGTTCCTCAAACTGGTTTTGTTAGGTCCCTCGAATAGCTTTAAATTGCAGTTGACCTGTTAGTTCAAATCTTTCTGTATAGATGGCGTGGCAATACTAAAAAAATTTTTTATCCCTGGAACGTGGAGTCCATCTGAAAGATCGTTAAATTTTGAGTAACTTTTGTGATAAAGTTTTTCCCTATATTTACTTGTTTTCGAGATATGGCGACTTCAATATGTAATATATGATGTAACAGGAAAATATATTATTTTATTTTAATCACACCGAGACAAAATATTCTTTTAAAATATTTTTATAATGACTTTATTCACACCAGATACTAACTAAAAAACAATAAATTGTAAAAAAAGAATGATCAACTACAGAAAAAAAAATGTACAATGGCAAATCTTATAAGGGGCAGAGACGAACCGTATTTTCCAAATGTTATTAATAAATGCGTAAGTAATAGGCGGCTCATGTCAATAAAACATGTATGACAGATGACACATTAGCTTTCCAATAATTACAGTTTTATCAGCTTGCGTCTTTCAGTTTAACTATACTAACTTATTTTAGAAATAAGAAAAGGTCCAAATGACTCAGTGTGTGATATTTAAACTTTCTCTGCGGATTTTTGTATTTGTTTATTGAATATAAGAGTGGACTGTACACACGGTCCGTAAAACGTTTAACGGACCGTGTAGAAGTATGTGGTAGCCTTGACCATAAAGGTAACTAAATAAGAGGCTTTTATTGGATAGGGCGGCTCGAACATGCATTCACTGAGGCCATCTCACGTTGTTGTAGCAAAACATTGTCCTTTATGGAAATTGTTAAACAGAAATCTGCAACCACAGATCGAATCTGTATTTCCAAGCTTTCAATCAACAGAAATAGAATGCGTTGACTGAAATATTTCAATCGACGTAGAATGTTGAAGGTTTGAGGTTATAGTTTATCTTCAGTTCAGGTAGGTTGCCACGTTTTGTGCATTAATAAATTTGTTTTGTTTTAGATTCATGTAATAAGGGATTTATTGAATTAGTCATCTGAACTGCCTTACTATATTTTTATTCAAAATGAGTTTACCTGGTAGAACTACACGTAAATGCGTTGTGCTCCAAATTGCAAAAGCACTTACTATTTGAATGTCTGTAATGCGTCCTATAGAAATAAATGTTTTTTCAAAATTACAAAAGACAGGCAATTACTGTGGATAGAATTAGTTCGAAAATTATGTAAATCAGACTTTGCTCCGACAAACACAGGTCATTATTTTTGTGAAGACCATTTTGAGTTAAAATGTTTTAAAAGCAGTGATAGGAATAGTCTCAACATAAATGCTGTGCCGACATTATTTTTAAGATCAACTCATATATTAATTGTAATAATATCACCTTGGAATCCTCGGATAGTATCTATCCAATATTCAGCAAAATAATTTGTTAACGTAACATTACAGAATTTTCAGAGTACGAGCTGCCAAACTTCAATTTCGGATGATTTTTCACCTCCACCTTTTAAAAAACCGAAATACATATATTCAAAATTGTCATTTCCTACAAGCGCTACTGCGAGCACCAGGGCCATTACTGAGATTACTGATAAGAAGTTGAATGAAGCGGAATCAAATACTGGTCATGTAAGTACCTCACTTGATACCTCATTTTGTCAAAGCTGCACTTCTTTTCAGTCAAATAATAAACAAAGAATATTTTTAAAAACCATGAATGTTAAGAGAATATCTCAACTTTCAGATAAACATAAAAATATAAATAAATTTTCAACAGAAAATTCAGATTTTGAAATTAAAAAGGAAACTATTAAAATGTAAAAGTAATTTGGCTCATGTTCGTAGTATCACCTATTCTAATTTATTTGCAAAATTAAGTCGACATCTTGGTCCAGTAGGAGTAAAATTTATTGAGCCACAAATTAAATATTGGGAAAAAAATGACCTATCTATAATTCAGAAAATAAAGCACTTGCTTTAGCGATTTACAAACGTTGGTCAAGGTGCTACAGGTTTTTACAAAAATTTTTGTGTTGCCCTCTAAATCTTCCATAAGGAAATATTTAGGCCAAATACCTTTAAATGTTGGGATAAATGAAAAGTTGTTACGTAAATTATCAGAACATGTTAGTAAAATGATTACAAGAGATAAAGTTTGTTGTTTAGTATTTGATGAAATAGCTCTGTCTATGGGTCTAAATTATGACACTTGTAAAGATCAAGTAACGGGATATGTCGATCTTGGGTCCCTGGATAGACAAAATGAGGTAGCAAATGCTCTAGTGTTTTTGGTACAAGATATTAGTAAACATTGGAAGCAACCTATCGTGAATTATTTCACAAAAGATGATATAAAAACAAAGGACCTACAAATTTTGTTAACTGAAATAATTTCAGCATTGCAGTGTTGTGGATTAAAAATAATTTGTACAATTTGTGATCAAGGTTCCACTAGCAGATCAGCTATCAGACAGTTAGTTTCTAAGTTTCTGACTTTTAATGTTAATGGCGAGGAAATTATTCCCATTTTTGACGTTCCTCGTTTGCTTAAAAAGACCAGAAATGCTTTATATAACAATAATATTAAATTTTCGCATAATAAAACAGCAAAACTCAACCACATAGTAAAATGCTTCCAAGGTTTACGAAAGATACATGACCATTATTTCGAATTAAATCGTAATAATGTTAAAATGAAAGCACAGACAATATAGCGTATCGCTACAGACTGCTACTTAAGTGCTGGAAATTGGCAACCCGAAATGGAAGCAGGGTCTCCTTAGCCGGCTTCCAGCTATAAAATTTAGCGTAGTGACTCTTCTACTTGCTAATAGGCGGCAGTTCCAGCGGTGGCTTTGTTGCCAAATAATAACTGCTAAATAAATTTAGGTAATGCTTTCAATTATGTAATTAAAGAGATATGGAACTTATCTTGTGTTTGGAAATCACATTTGCCTTAAATGTTAAATAAAATAAATCAAGTTAGAATTAAAACTATGAATTTACCTAATTAATTATTTATTTTATATCACCTTGGAATGGGAAAATTTTAAAACTCGAAAGTAATGTTTTTAGATTTGTGCGTCAAATTCCAATATGGTACGATATCAAAACCTATGTTTAAAAAAATTGCATTATACAGATTGTGTATCCTTAGATGGGTACTGCCTCTTATTGTTGATTTCTTTAGATAGGTAAATAATTATTTATTGACACAAGTGTTGCATTTTATGGATGTCATTGGTAGTGCCCATATTTGTGACACAAGGTTTTCAAAAAAATTAACACAATGTAAAATTGCTGGAACCTCAAGGAGTAGTCGAATACGAAATTTATTAAAAAAAAAAACAACAAATCATCAATCAATACAGAGATAAGATAATGCGTTCGCTACTGCTGTTGCAATTTTTAACTAACTAACTTTATTGTTTTTCGACATACTGACTTCGGACCGTTTCCATTCAACGCAGAACGGACAATCAGAACCAGAGCAGTGGGGAGATTTTTTTAATTATTTTTTCAATTCAACGCACCGTTTCCGAATTATAAGACCTTTTTTACTGTATCACCTCACACACCTCTTCTTTCCGAAATTTATTTTCCACATACGGACTTCGGACCTTTTCCATTCAACGCAGAACTGTCATACAGAAACCAGGTGTGTGGGGAAATTTTTTCAATTATTTTTTCGATTTAACGCACCGTTTCCTGCATGCAGCATTTCCAGCACATCTGTAGCTCATGAAGTTGAGGCAATGGTGAGTAATCCCACTATACTGGCATACCTGCTGAGGCTATTCATACAGCAGAGTTTGCGAATGATATTAATGATCTTTTTGTTAGTTTAAATTCTCGTATCATTCAGCTAAATAATTGCAGTTTTTTAAAGTCATCTATTACTAAGAAATCAGCATATATTACATTTTGGAATATGTTGGAAGAAATTCAGTCTTGGCAATTTCAATCTCATAAAGACAACAAAGTAAAAAATGTACATCCCGTAAAGTGTTAAAACATAATTAAAGTGTTTCAGTAGTAATGGGTCATGGAACAGCTGTTAATGGTTCACGTTAATTTTAATTGTTAACTTCAACTAGTAGTAGCTGTTTTGTAATCTATTACTTATGAAATACTTTTTATTCTGTGTATTTTATTACATTTAAATTTACCGCCATTATGATGCAGCGGCATCTATTAGATAGTAGAATTAGAGGTTAGTCTAATTGTGTTTTCCCATGCAGTTTCCTTAATTATTTTATAGTTTGTGTGTGTAGCTTCACTTCACATCAGCTACAGATGGCGTACTCTGCCGCTGCTGCCGGCAAAAGGCACAGAAAAAAACCTCTTATTTAGTTACTCTTATGGCCTTGACTTATAAGAGAGATTTTAGGCCACCTAAAATTTAAGGAACGTTATACTTACATTAAACGTAATACTGATCATGCGCAGTTAATGAAAAATAAGGGCCCAAATATTTCGTTAATTCAGTTTTTACACCAGGATTTACCTTGACAATTCCGTTAACCGTAAACGTAACATATAACCTGTATTATTAATATTATTCTAGGCATATAAAACCTCTTTTATGTTATCGCTACCTCTTTAATTACATCAAGTATTTGATTACATGCACATAACTGATTACATGTACATATTATGGCTGCACTGAAAAAAAATATTGAAATAGTAATTAGACGTACAAATTTGGCGTTGCCAAGTTATACTTTATTGATATAATTTTGTCGGATATCTTATATATAAAACATATAATATACCACCTACAGTCGCAAACAGAAAGCGTATGTAATGTATGTATAGAATATATTAATTAATAATTAACAAAATTAATAAGCATAATTATCTTCCCTGTAAATAAGATAACTGTTACATTTGGCAATAAGTACCGATACGCTTATTAGCGTAACGTTATTCAAACTTAAATTACGGACAACGTTATCGGTTATTAATGTTATCGGTTATTTTCGAACTACTGCGCATGATCAGTATAACGGATAACGTTTAACGTTGTTCAAATAAGTGGCTTAAAATCTCCCTATAGTCAAAGGTGGTAGTCACTGAAATATGGGCATGCGCCTAACATATATTTTCATTTTCAAGTTTGACAGTCAGCATGACATTCAGGCGACATTGATATTTATTTTTATTTTAGTTATAGTGTCATTATTTTAGTTTGTTTCATAAGTTTGGTGAATTCTAGTAAAAATGAGAAGTAGAAGCAATTCCGGAGTCCGACTGGACTACTACCAGAGACTTGTTCACAAAGTAATTATGGAACACCAAAACCCTGTCACTGGTTTATTTCCTGCCAGCCTGGAAAATAACCACGCTTGGATTAGGGATAATGTATATTGCATATTGTCGGTATGGGGTCTATCTATGTCTTATAAAAAAATGGCTGATCAGGATGAAGATCGTGCAAAAACATATGAGTTAGAACAATCCTGCGTCAAGTTAATGCGAGGTTTACTCATGTCTATGATGCAACAAAAAGAAAAAGTTGAAAGATTCAAGCAAACCCAAAATCCTCTAGACTCTTTGCATGCAAAATACTCTTCCATAACTGGGCAAATAGTTGTAGGAGACAATGAATGGGGTCATTTGCAGATTGACGCAATATCTCTTTACCTTCTTGTATTAGCACAGATGACAGCATCGGGATTACAAATTGTGTTTAATTTAGACGAAGTCGCATTTATTCAAAATCTTGTATTCTATATAGAATGTGCTTATTGCACTCCAGATTATGGTATTTGGGAAAGAGGAGATAAAACTAATCATGGTTTACCAGAGTTGAATGCGAGTTCTATTGGAATGGCTAAAGCTGCCTTGGAAGCAATGAATGAGTTAGATTTGTTTGGAGCTAGAGGAGGACCTTATAGTATAATTCATGTCTTAGCTGATGAGGCACAGAAGTGTCAAGCTGTGTTGCAGGTATTGTCTATAATTATTAATTTGTGGCATCTGATATTTAATAATACTTCTGTGTATTTTAGTATATACTTTTAGTATGTTTTTATTTTTAGTCTATGTTACCAAGAGAATCCAGTTCTAAAGAAATTGATAGTGGGCTTTTGTCTGTAATAAGTTTTCCAGCTTTTGCCGTTGATGATCCTGGACTTATAGGGTATACTAGAGATTGCATCATTAATAAATTGCAAGGGCGGTATGGTTGTAAAAGATTTTTAAGGGATGGTTACCGAACTCCAAAGGAAGTAAGTAAGATTATTATTTAAGGAGGTTTATCGGGTACGGAGGTACGTCTAAAGTCTAACGAGAGTTTCTGTACATTCGCTAGTGACTAAAGTAGTAAGTCTTTAGATTTGGCAACGTTGCACTTTGGCTGGCTTTGTTTGGATGCCTAAGCTTGAAATATACACTTGCAAATTTCAAATAATACACTACGTCGAGAACCGCGGTGTTGCCACTACCACACATATGGAGGTTAAGTTAGTCAACGACAGCAGTTTGAAGGAGAATTATTATAAATTATGTATCTTACAAGTACCTAATTGATTTCTACGAGCTGTCATACGGTTCTTTAGATATCGGTTTCCTATTTATACAAGTTGCTGTGTTAACTGTTCGTTGATTGCTGCACATTCTAAGTTGAAAGACCAACAAAATCTGTATTCTCATAAGACTATACTAAATTGTGAAAAATTATTTTATTAATATCGTCTCTAAGGTATCCAAACTAATCATAATTTTGTTTGAGGATTTTCTTCATATTAATAAGCTTATATTATTTTTTTATGAATATTTGTTTGTCAAATCAGATAAACCTCCTTAAGTAAATAAACTAACAATTTATTAATGTTATTACTATTTTTTAATTGGATGTTTATAGAAAAATTTTGTTGGAAATTTTTAGGATCCTAGAAGGCTTTACTATGAACCGTGGGAACTGAGGATGTTTGAAAACATTGAATGTGAATGGCCATTATTTTTGTGTTACCTCATATTAGATAATTGCTTTAAAGGAAATAAAGAGGTTGCTGCAGAATATACTCAACAACTGGAAGAGGTATATTTTTTTACTTTGTATTATATTTGCCATTTTACTTTTAAACTTTTAGCTTTAGAAATTATTCAAATTTTATAAATAGGTACCTCTATTTTAATATCTTGACTTTTATTTGATACAAAGTATTTTATTTTAAAATATTAAAATTTTATTTAAAAAAGCGATAGGTATCCAATATACAGAGTGTTGCGAACTTGGAGATTTATTTATATGTAATAGGGTATAGGCTTTGAGTAAAGAGGCTGATTCCTATATATTTACTTTAGTAAGACTCCTGAAATTGCAGAAAAAATATTTTATACTTAATCATAAGCACCGTTGTTTGAATAACGCTGATTAATTTAATTTAGATTTATCAAAAACTCAGGCATATGAATGGTACAAAGCATTCAAACATGGTCAAGAAGTGATTGATGATTTGCCATGATCTTCAATGTCTTCAATTAAAGAAAACATTGATAAAGTGAAAGAAATGGTACTTGCAAACCGTTATTATAGTTTGAGAGAATTGGCATATGAACTAAACATATCTCATGCATCAGTTCACACCATTTTAGTTGATGTTTTGGGTATGAAACATGTCCCAACATGGTTGGTTCCAAAAGAGCCATAGGCGCTTTTAGGGCTCTTCACAATATCTATTATTTTTTTGCATAAGCATTAAGCAATACATTTTCTAACTTGATTTACATTTATAAAAAGTGTCTGGAATTAAATAATGGATTTATTTCTTTAAATAAGTTCCATTTTAATACCTATATGTCCATAAATCTATCAAATGTTGACAGTGCCGTGCAAGTGCAGGAAGATATTAGCCGCCGCAAGCCGGGACAAAAAAAGGCATTCTATCGCATACAGACCAACCAACACTGAATGATACAGATTGGATTCGATACTATTTTGTTATCGTTCATATGAACGGGTCTTCATGAACGGATCATTTTAATAATTGACCTGGATGACCCGGGTCGCGAAAATAAACGGATCTTCCCATCACTATTTTCAACAAAAAATATTAGCAAAGTAACTTCTTATAATAAAAATTTCATTTTGATGAGACACGTGCAGACATCTGATACAAACAGACATACTGTTGGACTTTTCTTAGGAAAACGCTTGCACACATACAAATACCGACATCTATGAGTAGCTCCTAAAACTTTAAATATTAATATTAATTTGTCAAAAACTAAATTTTGGAAAAAATGGCACTTAGGCCCTTTCTAATTTCCACTTCAATTATCCATATATATATTTCAAGAATACGATAGTTATATTTAAAGGACTTTTAGTTGTCACATATAATAAGCCAAATTATCAACTTAATAAATATCACTCTATAGATTATGATCAGAACAGAAGAGGGATTAAAATTGGTACCAAAACTGTATTCAGTACCAGCAGAATTTGTTGGAGCTGAATACAAAGAACCTGGAAGTCAACAGAGAATTCCATTAGGCCAATGTCCGTTTCTTTGGGCACAATCTTTGTACATTATTGGGAAGTTGTTACAGGAGGTAGGTGTTGAATTTTTAAAATGTACAGGAAAATTAATAAATACATTAAAATCTAATATTTATGTTTAATCTGAATGAAATAGTTATTTAAATAAATAACATTTGTTTTAGGGATTTTTGGCTCCAGGTGAGTTAGACCCTTTGAATCGAAGATTGTGCTCAGAGAAGAAACCCGATGTGGTGGTCCAAGTAGTAATTCTCGCAGAAGATAACGAAATCAGAGATAAATTGGCGGAGCACGATATTATTGTCCAAACGATTGAAGAAGTCGCGCCTATAGAAGTACAACCTGCAAGAGTTCTCTCTCACTTATATACATATTTAGGTAAGAAAAGCAATACTGTGTGCACCGTAATAAATTATAATTTATACACTCATGCCCATTTGCATTAGAATTGATTGTCAAAAATTTTTCGTATTTGATTTTTCTACAGAATTTGCGATATTTTTTTTATTATATTGCTTCACCACAAATAAATTAATATGTAGGTACTAGGTATAAAATCCAATAATAAATAATGTTATGTTTTCGCTTTCATACTGAACATTCGAAGCTGATGATAACAGTCTTAAATTAATTAAAAACAATTTACTCACTTTTGATCAATATTATAGGCCAGGAAATATAGAGTTGGACGCGACTTTTTGTTTCGGCAAGCTGAATTTATCACTATAGATGCTAAATATTATGTACAATAACATATTAGTTTCCACAGTCATAAAAATGGGGGGAAGATTGATTGTTTACAGACTGGTTAATTGTATAATTTTTACGTAAATTCACGTTTTTCGCTTATAACTTTTTCCGTTCATTGCCACGAGAAAACAGTAAAGTACTTTTTTTTTTCGTCTTCAAAACACCTACAAAAGTAGCCCTCAAGCATAAAAAAATATTGATTAGATCAAAAGTTGTAAACAGAAGAAGTTTATTTATGACTTGAATTAAACATTTATAAACTGCGTTATTATTACCAGAACGTTTTGGCATCACATCCTCTCATTCGCATTCTAATAACTCGCACGAAATCTGGAATCGGTAAGTGAAAAATGTGTACTTGCTTGTGTTGTTCATCTTTATATTACATCTCAATATTAAAAAATAAATAAATACCTGAGAACAACAGTTAGGCCTATTTTTTAAAACCCCAAGATAGATATAAGTAAATTTAATACATTCATAGAAATAGCTTTTACTAAAAGATTACTTCAGTTTTACAAATAAACAAAGTAGTGATATTATTTTTGCAAAATTTGTGATATTTTTGCTAGACTTATTACATTAAATTGATTGCCTGCCATTTCCCGAACACCCCATATAGCACAAAGTATATAGCGATATCTAATTTAATTTCATACATCTCATGAATATAACAAATCATTAAGTATTGGAAACAAACTTACTAGTATTAATAATTTCCATCGAATACACAGTGCAATACAAATTGCTACAGATTGAATACATATTCTTTTTCAAAAAAAAATGTCGAAAAAGTTTGTTGTTTATTTTTCACTTTTATATTTACTTCCAGCTCTGTACATATTTGTAATTTTAAAAATGTTGTATATGACATTATTTGTGAACCTTTTTTCTACAGTAAATAATGTTTAATAAACATATTTAATATTAATATCAGCATTACTTAAAGCTCACAAAAATATGCGGAGATATGCGGTGGTGTACTATATAATTTTTATTTTTTAAATATTATTAAGATCGGATGCACTACAAAGTTCTTAAAAACCAAAATAATTTGGTTTTTGGATCAAATTGTTGAAACTAGAGAAACTGTATCTCATTTAAGGTTTATTTAAAAATAATTTTGGTTATTTGTTAGTTATTTTTATATTTAAAAAATTAAAATTATGATTGTTTCAATGTTTCCGCTGAATTTTACTTTATTTGAACTATTAAATGTTTCCAAATGTGGTTTTTAAAGTACAAAATAGGTACAATGGAAAACAAAAATTGTTTGATAGTTAAAAAATTTATATTTAGTGTCTACTGCTCCTTGAATCCCTTGAAAACCTTGAAAACTCCTTGAATGGATTTAATCTACTTGAAATACTTGAAATCTCCTTGAATCGAACTAATGATCCTTGAAAAATTTGTTCGCAGTCATTTTATTTAATTACAATTTTTAATGAATTTAATTTTTTTCTCCTTATGTTATGTTGAATCCGAAAACTGCTAAAATTCGGATTCAACTGGCTTTAGAAGTTTTAGTCGAGCATAACCACTTTGGTGAACTTATTGTTGAAGAAATTGAAAAGGATTACCTTAAATTTATAGAAAATGACGCTGTAAAAAAAGAATTATTAAAGTTCGATGAGAAAAAACATCAGCTAGATGAATTTTTTATGAAACTGTGTGCTGAGCAAAAAATATCTGGGAATTTTGTCGAATTTGTAAAACGAATAGGTATTAGTATTTTTTCATGGAAATGCTGCTATAGAACGCAGTTTTTCTTTCAACAAAGAATTCCTAGTTGAGAATCTACAAGAACAAAGTCTTATATCTCAAAGATCTGTACATGATTTTATTATTGTTAATAATAACGGTAATGTAAAAAATATTAAAATAACTCATTGTTGCTTTTAAATCCTCTTCTGCAAATCGAAAACAAGCTTTACAAGACAAAAGAGAAAATTAAAGTGAAGAAAAAAAAGAAAAAGAAAATTGGTTGAAGAAGCAGCAGATTTCAAATTGAGAAAAAAAGAATTAGAAATGATAATAAGTGAAAATCAGAAAAATGTAGTACAATATCACCAAAAAATTAAAGAGTGAGATAAACAATTTAAAAAAATTATTCTTATTTTAGAAATTACTTAAATTTAAATATTTTAATTTTGTTTAATTTTTATGGTTCTCAAAACCAATTTAATATAATTTTTTAACGATTATTGTAATAAAATTTTTATTTTAGATATTGTATTGTTATTTTTGTTTAATAAATATAATTAAATTCCTTCAATATAATATAATTTCAGTGTATGTTGTAAGTGTACAAATTATGATGATCACGTTTAAATTTTCAATTTTTCAGTCATATATTTTATCTTTAGAATTATAGTTTTACAATCTTATTCTATCTTAATGTGATACTTAATAATCGCTCGTATGTGTTCGACATTAAATTTTTAAAATCAGAGAGATGGTCAGATAGATGTTTAATTTTTTTATATGTCGTGAATGCGGAGCGCACCTTCATCTTCAAGTTAAAAACTATATTTTGAGTAAAGAAAATGAAAAATTTCGAGTAAATTAACATCGATTCGCTTTTACAAAGAGAAAAGTGTTTACCCTAGAAAAATGTACTTCCTTGAAAATGAATTAAAATCAACCCTTGAACACCTTGAAAACTCCTTAAATCTGAAAATAAAAATTTAGTAGGCACTGTATTTAATTATTAAATTTCATTTTTAAGGGAACTGTATGTTTTAAATTTAGTCATTCGACAGACTTAAGAATGATTTTTATAAAATAATAAAATGGCAATAAAGTCTTATTATTTTGTTTAAAAAAAATAAGTTTACTAACATGTGACTGATTATTGTATTGCAGAGGTTTGTTTGATTTTTTTTTAATGTCCAAAAATACAAAAATTGGATAAAGACCAGAAAAAACTAAATCTATAAAAATGTTGCTAATAAAACTATTTTTTTCCATGTAAGTTCAATGAAGTTTTGAACAGGAATTTGAATTCAAAATTCCCAATAATGAAATTACTTTTATTTCCTATAAACAAAACTGTTTGGATTTGATTTTCTTTATTTTCCTTAAAGATATTATACAAATGTCAGATTATCTTAAAAAATCATTTGAAAACAATATTTAGCAACAAAAACTCGTTTAGGTAATGATAATAGTACATAAAAATAATAAATCATTCTGTGGAGGATTATTTCTGTTGCATTAAGTTACAAACTACTTTTGTTTGTGGAAATATCATTTGACATAATTTTTTAAGTAAAAGCAATATATTCGATTAAGTTTTTTTGATTTTGTGAAATAATCCTTTAAAACGATTGTCAGTAAATTTGTTTTGAAAATAGATTAAAAAGTGATGTCTGAAATGTTTGGGAATTTAGTTTACCTTTGTGTTTACAGGAAGAAACAAAAAACTGGGTTTATCGGGTAGAAAATCCAGAGATGTGGGCATTCTTTCCACCAGCAAGCTCTATTCCCTGGGTGATAAGATCTTTGCGTTTACTCCACAGGTAAATTGAAAGTATATATATTTTTCCTACACCCCACTATAGATTGTGTGTTATTCAGTTTACGGATATGTCACACAATTACATAGCCTCCGACTACGAGCTTATGATTGATATTTGCAAGAGTGAAATAAACTTTTTGAAGTCCAGCTGGCAGAATATGCTAGGAAGGCCTTTGGTGACCATAACCTGTCGGACGTTGCACTTAGGTATTAGATTTTGCCAAAGAGTTGCTTTATCAATTTGATCCTTTTGAGTAACAGTTTTCGTTTGATAATTAATCATTCCATTTTTACATTTTTACTGGCTATTAATGGTTTAATTCTAAAGGCTTAATTCTAGATTATTAAAAGAAACATAAGGGTATTAAAGAAGTATATACCTTTTCAAATTACTTGCGACGCTGAGTAGGCACAGAATTTGTCTCAAATAGTGTCAGTTTATTTTGTGAGCAGAACAGGTTGAGCTATAAAGCACTTCAAACTGTATAAGAAAGGCTAAAGTGAAAAAACTTAACCTAACTTAAAATGTGTTAAAAATTGTGTGGTTCACTATTTGACTTTACCACGCAACAGGCAACGGCAATGTGGTTGGTATTAGTTAAAGAAACAGACTAACACAAAAAGTGGTGTTTTTATAGATTTATAAAATAATCTTCAGAAAAAATATGTTGGAAATTGCTGAAGCAAGAAATTCTTATTTATTGCCGAATATATCAAAGGAATGATATATTTTACGTTTTTTGGTATCCTGGGTTAATATACATATAAACAATTTATTCAGTAGTGTGAACATAAAGATATTTGTACGAGGTGTGACCTAAAAGTATCCAATCTGCGTTTATAACTCCATGCTGGCATTATTCTTTGTCACCTGGCTCGTGGCATCCTTTGAAGTAATCCTCAAAATTCGCAGGGGACTATGTCGGGACTATACGGAGGCTGGCAAAGTTCTGTAAATTTGTATTTTGCCAAAAATACTGCAAGGAAAAATTTAGTCGTCTGACATCTTGGAGCATATCCATGGTACACAACACCTTCATAATCGAAAAAATACTCAACATGGTCTTGACATTGTTCCCACTTTGACGTGCTTTTTTCGACCGTGGCTGGGATGGAAGCTTCCACTGTGAAGACTGTTGTTTTGTTTCGGGATCATAATCATAAACCCACGATTCGTCACCATTAATGATCTTTTTAACCTCTTGAATGCTTATAACGTATATAATTGGCATGAGCAAAGTCAATAAATAGTGATTGTGACGGATATATGCGCTGCCACACTTATACTAAATGTGCGGGCAAAACAGGATTTGATGAAGTAGCAAATATATCTAAGTTATTTGATTTTATTTTATTTAATCATTTGGATCAGTCTGTTGCGGAATTGGAAATATTCTGCCATTCATGTTATGGCGAATATAAGAACTACAAATTATTTCGATTTATGCATTTTATTGTTAATAAAACGAAATGATTACGTAATATCAAAATGACATTTCCAATATGCGGTCATAGTTATTTAAAATGTTAATTCTACAATATTACGTATAATTTTTCATATAATTTTATTTAAAAAAAATAACTAAAAAGTGTATGATGTTTTTTAAAATGTCAGTCTTTGAAACTTAAAGAGTGACTCTGAAAATCGCCCATTTTGACAAACTCGTAATTCGTTAAAAATTTTGTGCCAAGTTATTGTATATCATTAGAACGTGTTACTGGGAAAGTTCCAAGATGAGTTCAGTTTTGGTTTTGGAGATATGAGTGATACATAGCATAATACTCGTGATCTCATGTATCGAGCATATCATTTTGAACCTTTAAGATTCACTGTTTTTTAGATCATCAAGGTCAAGGTGGTTACTTAGGTTTTCGGGGTCGCTGATTACGAATCTAACAATCTAGTACTGCGCATTTGCCTGCAATAGAGTTCTGCTTGAAATAATATAAAGGTTTGCGCAATTGGCCGCCCAAGCACCATTTTCAATTGTGCAAATTTGATCTCGGATTCATAATCAGCGATCCCGAAAACCCCTGTATACCCAGTTTGGTCGAATTTGGTTCAATTTAAAAAATCGCCATATTGGATCCGCCATCTTGAATTTTGAAATTCTGACTTCAGATTCATAATCAGCAACCCCAAAAACCTGAGTAACCACCTTGACCTCAATTGACCGCAATTCTATTGTAAACTGAATATGACGTATATATCCGCTACCGCAAAAAGAGATGAAGCCAGCGAGGAGTGCACTTCTCGCAATGGATTAAGATGTTCAAGAGGTTAAACACATTTTCATCATTAGCGACCGTTGTCCTGAGCGACTTCAAAGAGAAGGTTTTTCTGCTCTACCGTGAGCAATTTTGGAATGAATATTGCACACACACGATTCGTTTCCAAATTCTAGGTTAAAATTCTTCAATCGCAAGTCGCACATGCTTGGTATTTTACAATGTTATCGTGCTCGAAGGTCGGCCAGAACGCTGTCACTGTCAACAGATGTGCTGACATTTTTAAACCACTTGTACCACTATTTTATCTGTGTTTTGCCCATACACTCATCCCCGAAGGCCTTCTGTATCATTTCAATAGTTTCCACACAACTCTTTTTGAGTTTAAAGCAAAACTTGATGCAAATTCGTCGGTCACATCTATCTGTCATTTCACCACAGATAGAAATAATTACTACCAGTGTCTAGAAAATCAACTAAAAGTCAAACGGTTAGTTGCCATAATTATACTGTGAAATTTTTAGGAGCTATTCGAATATGTTGTGTTACCACAATCGCTGTAAATCGCCACATTTGGCAACTCTGCTAACACGGCCTGTTGGTAACTGCGGCAGCCGGCGAGTTTGTAAGGAATCACCAGTTATGCTCGTACCCCACAGAGGCTTGAACATTCTGGTCGGATACTTTTTGGCCACATCTCGTATATATATATATATATATCAGTCAATATTCTACTAGCGATATTAACTGACCAATACTATAATATTAACTCAAATGTTGGTATTAAATATCCTTGGTGGTTAATCCTTAATTTCTGAAAAGTATTTTAAAAATTTGACGTTTTGAGAAAAAAAATTAAAGATAAAGATGGAGTAATCAGCAATTTGGACACATTATTCAATGATCAGAACCATATTAAAGCTGCGAAATAAGCAAACATTACAAGCTCCCAGCATTTTTTAAAAAGGTAAAAATACTTAATGAAGTTCAAGATTTTGCCAGGAAATTTAAAGAAATATTGCTACAAAAAAATACTGGTCATAAGATACTAAAAATTTTTAATGTTTATGGTTCAATTTTTGTGAATTTCTGTAGAGAAAACACCCACCATTTCTTTATAAAATATATATTTTGTTATTAGCTCTTTTATTTTAACTATATTTTAAAAGTATTAAGCTAATTCTAATAAATTCAAAAAATTCTATCGAATGATGTCAAAAGATGTTCTTATAGATACCAACAACTAAGTATGCAAAATACGAGGATGGCCAGAAGTATGGAATAAAATTCATATCTTTTGAATGAGTTAATTTTTTTAAAACGCCGAAACACGTTAACTGATTTTGATTTTTTCCCATCTTTCGGTTATATAATAATTAATTTTTCTTCAACCCCCTAACCCCCAGCTACCCCTACTTTTTTTTCAAATGGAAACATAAGGCATGAGGGGGCTCGTTGAAAAGCTTATAGAAAACCGAATCCAGCCATACCAAATAAACAAGTTTTATTTTTTCAATAACAAGTTTTTTTTCATTTAGAAATTGAAACAACTAGATAATTTACAAAAATAAACTCAATGTCGCAAATGCTGAAAATGTCCTCCATTCACTATTTGGCATTCTCCAAGACGATAGTAAAAGCTGTCCACAGCATTCTGAATGACTTCAGCTGGTAAATTATGCATCTCCGCCCTAATCTTGTTCTTTAAATTCTCAATATTATCCGGTCTGTCCTGGTAGACTCTTTCTTTCAAATATCCCCAAAGAAAATAATCCAGGGGTGTTAAGTCGGGGGATCTTGGCGGCCATTCAACTGTACCCCGTCTACCAATCCAGCGATTTGGAAACATTTCATCTAAGTATCTTCGAACATCAATACCAAAATGTGGGGGAGCGCCATCTTGTTGGAACCAAATTCTTTCATTCGGTATATCTGGATCAATTTCATGAGGGAAAATCACAGCTAGAGCAGGTATCAGGTCAAATGTTAGGAAATCCAGGTAGCGTGCGGCAGTAAGATTTTCTTCAAAAAAGAATGGGCCCAAGATTCTGTTGTTGATGATACCTGCCCATACATTAACTTTTTGTGGATGCTGCGTATGCGATTCGCATGTCCAGTGTGGATTTTCCTGGGACCAAAAGCGATAGTTGTGCCTGTTAACCACTCCATTTAAATAAAACGTAGCTTCATCCGAAAAAAGTACGTCTCGTTGAAAACCATTATTGTCGTCACACCGTCTCATCATTTCCTCACAAAATTGTAATCGCCTATCATAATCGTCTTCCAAAAGCTCTTGGACAAGACATACCTTATAGGGGTGGTATTTCTCTTGTTTCAGAAACATTCGAATTGCAGTTCGAGAAGCATCGTGATTGCGGGCCAATGAAACAGTTGAAGTATGAGGATTTTCAACAAGTTCTAATGCAATGTCTAATTTCTTTTCTTCATTCAAAGCACGTGCCCGTCCAGTTTTGGGCAAAGTCTGTACTGTACCGTGTTCCTCAAATTTGTGAAATATTTTACTAACTGTCCCTTGCGAGATTTGGTTTTCGGGATATTTCGCATTAAATAAATCGCGCACTTCAGCCTGACTTCTTATTTTGTCTCCACATCCAAGCAATATCAAGATTTCGATGCGTTGCCTTTCCGACAATACCATTGCAATTCAGTAAATAACTTGATTTTGACACAATAGTAACGTTTCGAACTCCAATTTACAACTAAAGCGAAAAATTAACCAGAAAGCCTGGCAAGTAAGTGGTGCCAAAAAAA